TTTAAGCGTGGATCAACCCCTACCGCTAAACCACACGCTTGAGGTTAAACTGACCTATTTTGAGAGCTCTAATAACAATCATCCTCTAAACATTAAATTATTAATATTTTTTAAGAAATTTATTATAAAATAATTATTTAATTTAATATTTTATAATTTAAATTAATATTTTAATGTTCGAAATGATTTTGGGAGCAAGCTTGTATCATTTATGATGAAAAAATATCTGGAATAAGATTTGGGTGGCATAATTTAATTGGCTAAGAATGCCATTTTATTTTACGGAAATGAGTCCCCCTAAGTAAGTATGAATTTGGCAGCAGAAGACGGCACTGCAGTCTGCAGTAGCAGCGAAGCAAAGAAATAGAGGAGAATAAAAATAAAATACATCAGCGTTCAGCACTGCCACTCACTCACTCACTCTGGATCTACGAAGAAGAAGATGGATTCCGGTGGTGGTTCAGGTCCGAGTCTGTTTCCGTTGCATCGTTGCAAAACCATTCACCTGGTTCGTATTAGTATCCACTCACTCTTCATCTCAACACGCGCATCAATCAATCATTGCTTCCTTGCTTCCTCCTCCAGGTGAGGCACGCGCAGGGGATCCACAACGTCGACGGTGACAAGAACTACAAAGCCTACATGAATCCCGATTACTTCGATGCTCATCTCACTCCCTTGGGGTGGAACCAGGTAATGCTATACTATAACCTCCACTCCTCACTCTTTTTCTTTCCTAATTCATCACCATCACTGCCAGGTTCATTATTTGCGAAACCATGTTCGTCACTCCGGCCTTTTAAACAGGATCGATCTCGTCATTGCATCTCCCTTGTTGAGGTTTCATTCATTCAAAGATTTATAACTTGGCCAAATTTGAGTCAATCTCAAACCTGCGAACAGAGCTTCATATTCAGCTTGGTTATTAGTGCCTTGGAAATCAAACTTGATGGTGAGCTCAAGCATCATCTCGTTGGGGCCTTCAAGGATGATTCCCGCACCACTTCCTTTAATGTTAGACAATCCGTCAACATGTAAAATCCATTATTGATCTTCTGTGGCAATAGGAGATGTGAGTTTAGCAACAAAATCAGCGAGGCATTAGGCTTGCAATGGCCCCCGGCTATCATACTTGATTCCATACTCGGATAACTCAATTGACCAAGTTGTCATTCGACTCGCCAAATCTGGCTTCTGTAATATCTGCTTTATAGGATAATTAGTTTTTACCACAATTTGATGACCTTGGAAATAAGGTCAAAGTCGGCTATCAAATTCCAATCTCTCAAACAATTATAAATTGGCCAACTTAATTTGAGCCAAACTTAAAAATTGGCTGAGTCTGAGCCAACCTTGAAAAATTTCCGAGTTTGGCGTCTCAGTGGGTTAAGGAGGGATGATGTTTATAAACTACCCTTAGCCTCGACTCCTAAGCCAGAACACCTTGTTATGAATGTTACGTGTTTCAGTTAATTTACTGTTCCATCCCTACATCTAGCAAGAGTGGCCTAGGCTCCAACCCCTACCGCTAAACCACACGCTTGAGGTTAAACTGACCTATTTTGAGAGCTCTAATAACAATCATCCTCTAAACATTAAATTATTAATATTTTTTAAGAAATTTATTATAAAATAATTATTTAATTTAATATTTTATAATTTAAATTAATATTTTAATGTTCGAAATGATTTTGGGAGCAAGCTTGTATCATTTATGATGAAAAAATATCTGGAATAAGATTTGGGTGGCATAATTTAATTGGCTAAGAATGCCATTTTATTTTACGGAAATGAGTCCCCCTAAGTAAGTATGAATTTGGCAGCAGAAGACGGCACTGCAGTCTGCAGTAGCAGCGAAGCAAAGAAATAGAGGAGAATAAAAATAAAATACATCAGCGTTCAGCACTGCCACTCACTCACTCACTCTGGATCTACGAAGAAGAAGATGGATTCCGGTGGTGGTTCAGGTCCGAGTCTGTTTCCGTTGCATCGTTGCAAAACCATTCACCTGGTTCGTATTAGTATCCACTCACTCTTCATCTCAACACGCGCATCAATCAATCATTGCTTCCTTGCTTCCTCCTCCAGGTGAGGCACGCGCAGGGGATCCACAACGTCGACGGTGACAAGAACTACAAAGCCTACATGAATCCCGATTACTTCGATGCTCATCTCACTCCCTTGGGGTGGAACCAGGTAATGCTATACTATAACCTCCACTCCTCACTCTTTTTCTTTCCTAATTCATCACCATCACTGCCAGGTTCATTATTTGCGAAACCATGTTCGTCACTCCGGCCTTTTAAACAGGATCGATCTCGTCATTGCATCTCCCTTGTTGAGGTTTCATTCATTCAAACTACCTTTACCTTTACAATATACTAATATACCTTGTGTTTCTACGGCTTTGGCTCGTTGGAACGTTATGATTTTGTCGTTTAAAAGGTGTCTTGGTGGGTTAACGAAGGAGAGTGTTTATAAAATAAAACTTAGCCTCGATTCTTAAGCGATGTGTGACTTTTAGGCATACCAGAACAAACTCCCTAGTCGATGCTAAGGGGCAAGAGTGGCCTAGGCCCTCCTTCTAGCGTCAAATGTTCCTACGTAAGTCTGTTACCGCATCTGAGGTATTGTCTGTTTTGACACTTGTTAGGCCGGTTTTGTCCTTTAAAAGGCGTCTCAGTGGGTTAAGGAGGGATGATGTTTATAAACTACCCTTAGCCTCGACTCCTAAGCCAGAACACCTTGTTATGAATGTTACGTGTTTCAGTTAATTTACTGTTCCATCCCTACATCTAGCAAGAGTGGCCTAGGCTCTCTTTCTAGCGCCAAATGTTCCTACCATAAGTCTTTTACCGCATTCGAGGTATTCTCCGCTTTGATACTTGTTGGGCCAGTTTTGTCCTTTAAAAGGCGTCTCAGTAGGTTAAGGAGAGATGATGTTTATAAACTACCCTTAACCTCGACTCCTAAGCGATATGAGACTTTTATGCATACCAGAACACCTTGTTATGAATGTTACGTGTTTCAGTTAATTTACTGTTCCATCCCTACATAACTTAGACAATATTCAAAAATCATAGATGTTATAACTTACATTTTCTTGGCCGAGATTACCTTGGCAACTTGATCCCACAACTCGCTTGTCAGATTCTCGTGTGCCAGCCTCAACTGGGTCGTTGGTTTTTTGTTTCTTCCCCTTACGAGAAGGGCGATCCACATAGGAAATTTCTATCTCCTTAGTGTTGAACTTGACTTTTAGTTCACGCCACTTACTTCTTCCCATGATTTTTGAATGACAAGGTAACACATCAGCATATCAATCAAACAAAACATTACTCACTTTAAACAACTTTACCATTACTTACTTTCTAAGTCATCTCGAGGATTTTCTGATCTAGAAAGTGCTACGATAGCTTTGCTTTCTAAAAGCTGAGGCAATAATTGTAATTTTTATATGTCTTCCTCCTCGGAAGGGGTTAATGTTAACCCCTCTGAACAGGAAAATCTCACGGGTTGAGATTGCCAATATAAAGGGAATTTTGGTTCATCGTTACATTGAAAAATGAAACGCCACCTTTAAAAACTTCATCTGTTTTGCAGCGAAAAGTGACCAAGTCAAAGGACGTGTTATCATTATGTCTTTTGATATTCAAAATATTAAATAAGTTGTCATTAGTCCCTTAATATGTGTTACACCAAATAAAACTTAATTTATGGCCAACTTCAATATACGCATCTCCTGATTAACCTCTATCACTCTTACATCACTCAGAGCTTGGGGGGCTTGTGTACCAACCTCGGTCAAATGGTGACCGAGTTCGAACCAACTCGGCCTACCCAAACTTGAATCACAATATCAAGTAGTTAATTTAACGGTAATAATGACGGTTACATAAAGAAGGAAAACGGACAATAGCAGGTAAAAATATATACATTTCATTGGACAATCTCAGACAACTAACTTAATCGTCGGAGTCCTTTTTGCAGGTACATCCAAGACGCTTGGAGAAGGCGACCAATCTCGGTGACCAATCTCTCATGATCTCTAGAGAGACCAAGATAGAGAAGATGATAAATCTGACTTGAAGGACCGACCTGATTCTGGTAAGAACAAGTTGTAATCACTATTCTTCAAGTCTCGAAAAGACTCTTGACAATATTCTGAGTACTTAAAAAATTCATAATTTTACTCTAACATATGCAGATAAGATGAATCTAAAGTGGTTAATTAAAAATGGTGCACTATAAACTACCTATAAAAATTATTTATCTCAAAATTCATCATATTATTACTATAATATCATTCAAACTTCAAAAGTTTTGAGTCACATGAAAAAACAAAACCAAAAAAAAAAAAAAAAAAAAAAAAAAAAAAAAAAAAAAGCCCTAAGAGCCTTCTCTGACCGAGAAGTCGATCTTGCATATGTCAGAAGTGGGTCGGCCGATATTAAGAAAATGAAAATAATTGGAGATGTTAAGCAGCGGAAAAGGGCTAAGTTTAGAGATTAAAAGTGTTGATTTAAAAAGTATATTGGTATGTTCTTCCGAATGATTTGGTACGGTGTTTACATACGAAGATGTGTCGTAAATAATTAATAGAAATTTGTTAACAACTTTATATTATAATATTAAAATACTAACGTAATTTATATATTTTTTTTTTATGCATATGAGTATTAGTATTTACATTTTATTATTAGGCGCGTTTTACTATATAGCTTTAGTTATTGTGTATAATTTCAATCAACTATTACGTTAATTAATTTTCAAGTGAAATTAATTTTACTAATAATGTGTTTATTACTTATTTTGAGTCATATAATACATGGAATTATTTTTAGATATTTTTTAAGTTGATCATTAAAAAATAATTCCATGCATAGAATAGAATAAAATCTTATTAATAAATTTTAGTCAATAAGAGTGAATGTGTTGATAAGTGTGTTAGGGAGTGTGTTGTTAGTACTTCTCTAAAATAAATGAAAAGATTAATTTAAATGTGAAATTATCTTTGCTCATATATTGTAATATACTTATTTGTTAATCACATTTGAAGTAATGCTAGTACTTAATATCTTGATCTTCATTATTTTTAATGAAAATATTGAGATCTTTTGTGGTTCAAGCACATTCTTGAACTTATCTATTATATTTTTCTTTATAAATGTATGAATTTTTTTTCTCCTTAGAAAGTTAATAAAAAAAGGTTAAAATCCTTATTTGGTCCCTTATAATATTTTTTTGTTTCAATTTAGTCTCACTTTAATTTTTAGTTTCAATTTGGTCCCCAATAATTTAAATTATTGCAATTTGGGACTTTCGTCCAAATGATTTAAACAGAGTTAACTGTTGGCCACGTGGATGCCGGGTGGATGCCACGTAGATGCATAGGTGGATGCCAAATTTTATGAATACACCTGGAACCAGAACGGCCAGTTCTGAAACCAAAACGACCCGTTCTAAAACCAGAACGGCTCGTTCTGCTTGCACAAGTTATGTGTTAATTTTGCAACTAGAACGGACCGTTCCAAATACAAATTTAACACACCATGAGTGCAGCAGAACGGGCCGTTCTGAAACCAGAACAGACTGTTCTGGTTCCAGGTGTATTCAAGAAATTTGGCATCTACCTACGCATCTATGTGGCATCTACATGGCATCCACGTGGCCAACAATTAACTCTGTTTAAATCATTTGGACGGAAGTCCCAAATTGCAATAATTTAAATTATTGGGGACTAATTTGAAACCAAAAATTAAAGTGTGACTAAATTGAAACAAAAAAATATTATAAGGGACCAAATAATATGGGTTTTAACCCTAAAAAAATCCTATTAAAAATTGAAATAAAATTTTAAAACATATAAATAAAATGTCAATATTACATGAAAAAATTACACTTATTTCTTGTGAGTTTAAATGACACACACATACCCTCTAATTTTAAAAATCAATCACATCCTTTAGAAAGGTTATTAGTTAAAGTTGTGACACATTTTATCCTGCATACTATAATACTTGAAATAAATAAAAATAAATTAAAAAGTCTATCATATATGAAAATCTGTCATGTTTAACATAGAGAGTACTGTCGCCACCGGCCCGAAACGGGCTTTCGGCATTCGCGAAGGATGGTTGGACTCTTTTATTTGTTTAAAAATATGGATTGCTAGAATGACTTATTCTCAAACTGAGACCTTGTCAAACGAGCAATTTTATTAAAAGGCTCACCAATCCATGTTAATCCCAAGCGGGACCCTCCATGGATTAGCGGTTTTCGTAAAAAGAAAGGGTTCATGGAGTCGCCACCAATGTTTTACTCAAAACATTGGAAAAAGAAGTTTAAGGCAATCGATTCAAAAATC